CGATGATACATTTATTATCCGATACCGATCCGGTCACGATTCTATCGCACAATCGATTGGCTACATGCATTTTTATTCTCCCTCTCTCTCTCTCTCTCTCTCTCTCTCTCTCTCACTGTCTCTGTTTGCCATAAATGCAGTTTTTGCAAAGCTGAAATTCATACATGAAATAACAACGGAATGGGAATGAATTTACAGAAAAAAGCAAAAAAAAAATCACTCGAGTCGCACACATAATATTCATTTTGTACACTGTCGGTTTTGTATGATTGAGTATTTGTGAGTGCCATAAATACATGGAAAAAAATCTAATAAATGGATTTTTATTACGTCGCCATCGTCGCGCTTCTGTGTAATGTTTGCGTGTATCATTTGCCCATTTACCTTGATGCAAACGACCAGACTGGGAGGATGAACGAGCGAGTGGCACAAAAAAATAACAATCCATTTTGTCCACAATTCCAGCTCAAAAATGGCTTGAGACAGCAATTCCATGCCGTTTGTTGACTTCGGAAAAATAGATGAGGGAAAAAAAGCATGCGTCTGACTCTCTCTCTCTCTCTCTCGCTCACTCGTTTGAATAGAGCCATTTTGAATGTGCAATTGATGTTTTACTTCCAATTTCATGAGCATTCTCACCGCAAAGCACTCGTTCAAGTGCTTTGAAGGGACGCTCATTCACCGTCGTCGTCGTCACGACTGCTGCTACTTAGTCAGCGAAATTAGTTTTAATGCATAATAAATTTTGTGGTATTGCGTATGCTAAAGCATGTGCCACACACACATACACTCGGCTCTCGTATACTTTGCCATATAAAATGTAGACTTTCCCAAATTTTCATGCGATGTGTGGCGCCTTCTTTACAAAACTTTGCCACAGTCATCAAACACTCGCACATTTTTCCATTGGGCAAATGCGAAATTTGTAAACCGGAATTTCGGCGAGCTAAGCGCGAACACACCGAATTCAGTTACACACTGTTTTCCAATCATTGCGATTTATTTGTTCGATTGCATCATATTCATTTGATTTCGGCGCATGAATTTTTTCGAATATTTCATCAGATGACCAATGAATGTGTGTTGCTTATTTCTTCTTTTTTTTGGCTTGATTCGTGGGCCCATGTGCAGTATGCGTGCTGTTTATCTATACTTAAATTGTCGAATTAACGCATCGAAAACGAAAAATAAACGATCGTTGTTCCAACCAACCAACAGAAGAAAAAAAGGCACAATACAAACTTTATGATGTTATTATTTGGCACGGTTGTTTGGCATACAACGCGGCGTGCGCGCTGAACCAGAATTTGTGCGCGCGTTTGTTTCGATTACACGTCCGGTGTATTGATACATTCAATGTGGTGAACTGATTGGTGTGGCGATGCACAATTTACACCGATGAACACACACGGGATTCCACATAGTCAGGGTTTATTAGGAGCTCCAAGTGTATGTCAACACTTGCTGTTTTTTCCGCCGCAAAAACAGAAGGAAAAAACCCAAATGAAGAAATACCTCAAAGGGTTTGTGCCTTTTTACACACACACACACATACACCATTTATACCCATTAAGATTTACTCAAATACTGCACACTTTAAATGAAAGACAGCTCAAAGTGCAAACTGAGCACATCTTATTGATCACATCAAAGAGTTCCGCGCGAACGAGTGCACTGCACTCTTGCTGTGCACATAAGAAATTCCGGGAAGAGCACAAAACGAACAAAGGGACACTCGCTCATTCATTTCGTTAAACTCAAATTCGCTAAGTATTTAATTAATTTTCACCAAAAGACATTTTTCTCTCCGATAAGCGCTACCTTAAATGTGATTACGATAGTAAATGGTACGGTGTGCCAAATGTGCTGTCGCACCGTGAAACACGGTAATTTCATCTTTGCCATTAATTTTCGGTTGAATGCAACGAATGAATGAAGAGTATCCCATTGAGAAAAGTAGCGTCAAGCGCGCGTGGATTAAATGAAATTGCAAGAAGGATAGAGGGAGAGAGAGAAAGAGGCCGAATCGTTGGAACAAGCCATTTTTGAGTTGAAATTTCTTCTAAAAAAAAACTCCATACTCACAACGTCGGTCAGCGAGCGAAGGTGTTTGTTGGTCTGCGGCACACAGATGCCAATTGGCATATCAACTAAAATGCGCTTCACTGAAACACCCTGTACTCATTTCCAAATGGAAACGGCGTGCACATGCACATCTTAACGCACTTGATGTTTCGTAATACGCTTACCAAAGACAAGAAGCTTTAATAAACATGAAGAGAGAGAGAGAGAAACAGCGAAATAGTAATAATCAAATGCACACAAATGCAAATCATCCGCAGTAACGAACAACATGATGATGAAGCGAACGAAATATTTTCGAAAAACAAAAAAAAAAGAGAAAAAGATTAGCAACACACACGTTGAATGAAACCGAAACGATTTGTTTGAGCATTGAAACGATAATGTTTTCTTTTCGTGGTGTATTCGAAATTGCACGATTCAAAGGGAAAAAAAATTCGTTGCAAAATCCACCGTACAATGGAGAGAAAAAAAAGAAACAGAGGCGAATTGTTATTCATCGTTGATTATAAGTGTTTGCGGTTGTACATAAATACAAAATGAAACATACTCCTGTGTGATTGCTCATGTGTCTATTTATGTGAGCTTCCATGGCGAATAAGTAATAAAGTTTGTGTTGTTGTTTTTTTTGTTGCTCTTCGTACGCTGCTTGCGCTGATGTGCATGATTTTTTTTTTGTTCACTCTTTTTGCGTCTATTTGCTTATTATTATATAATGAATCCAGCGTGTTTCATCCATGGAATGCCATAATTTTCAATTGTAGAGGATATAATTTTTTTTTTCGCTTCGCATAGACAAGTCTTTCTGCGCAACGGACGCATTCAAAATGGCTCAACCGATCACTTGACCCCACAATCGAAACAAATGTACACACACACACACACTCAACAATTTGATTTCTAAATGCGATAAAAAAAATCCGCTCGTCAAATTGTAAGCGTGAGAGTGTGTAACATTTTAACAAGATCAGAACCATCAACCAAATTACATGGTTGTCATCGAAAATTGCAGCCCGCAAACTTCTCAAACAACTTCGTTCAATTGATCCATTTCGCATGGCATTCCGATTTGGTAAATTCAAAGAAAATTTATTGGAGCTGTTAAATGATGCCATTAATGGCAACCGTTTTGAAAATGCGCTTCGCTTCGAATGTGCGCGCCCGATATTTTCATTTCATTTAAAAAGACAAGTAAATTTCAATTCAAAGTCTCTTTTTTTGGCAGAACATCCCGACTTGGAAGCCACAGAACTCTTCGTTCTCTCACTCATTCATTCATTCAGCAACTCAATCTCGTGCATCTCTTCTTTGGTGTGAGTCTCTGTGGGCTGTTTGTATCATTTGATACGAGGTGTAAGCGGTTGCATTGCGCGAATTTCAATGTAAATAAAAATAAAGTTTGTGTGCAACTCGTTAGACGGTAATTTGAATGTTGAGCTCTTCGAGTTTTTCGGAATGTGTAAGTTATGCGAATTTAGTTGCTCTAGCTCTCGCTCACTCAGTCTTTCTTTATCTTTCTATCTCTCTCTTGCATTGCCATGCTCGGCTCTCGATACCAATTCGTTTCTACTTGCAAAATTCAATGCACTTTTTGACGTACTCCGTTTTATTATAAATCATTTGAACTTTACCGTAAACTACATTTTAACCCATTCACCATCGAAAGTATTTCGGATGCTACACGCGGGTATATTTGTTCGTAATGGTACATTACAGTACACAGAGAGCAAAAGGCGGTGTACATGTGTCAGGCCATATTACATATTCAACCGAAAGTTTGCACCCGATAGTTTGACAGCATGTTTCATTCGACATAAAAGACAGCAGCTGAAGAGATCGTTATACCAAATGAATCTCTGTTCAATGTATTTCGTCGTGGTTTTTTTTTTTCTTCTCCGTCTTCTTCTTTCAGTGTTCAATTTTTTTTTTGTTATTCGTTGTTGTTTTGTGCACTCTAGTCGTCTGTGTTCGTTGTATAGTAGTTGTTGAAAAAGTTGCAAATGATTAATGAATCTCAGAAGCAATCGTCTATTTATCTCGTCTCGTTTCTCTCATTCCTGTGTTCGATTTCGCGTCGTTCGTGCTGTGTGTCGTTTCTGTGCGACGGTGCATTTGCAACGAATGCAGCACATAATTTTGGAAAATTGTTTTCCAAATTAAGTTGCTTTCGGAATGATTTTGATATGTTCCAAAGAGATTCGGTGCATACGTGCGGTTGAGTGTAATTGCATCCAAAAAATCTGAACCATAGCGCTCGCGCATTCAAAACTCTGATGCCAATATAATTTCGTGTTTCAAATTATTGTATGATTATTGTTGTTGCTATTCATTCTCTCTTGTCTCTAGTCGCTGAACAGTCACACATTTTCCTTGCCACCTTAGCCTTTTGTTCTTGCAACTCACCCATTCCAAGCCATAATGAATGAGAATGAATCAGGTAAATGAATAAATGAATCGGTGCACAAAGAGTAGTGGGGGATGCCGTTGGTTCGAGGTTCGCTTAATTCATAATTATAACGGGGCACAACCGTACGGCACACCAAACAATATAAGCTGAACACATTCATTCATCGTACACTACGAATCTACCGCTTACAATAGAATGAATGCACAATCGCGATTCCATGTTTAAACTGAACAAAAAATGTGTGTGTGCGCGGACGCACTTGGTAAGCACTATTCTTCATTTATTTCATATTTTTCTGTATCGTTTGGTCGATTATTCGGTCGTCTCGTTGGTCTTCAAGCATACAATCAGTTAAACACTTATTTATCATCATTTAAAATGCACACAGAACGCACATACGACACACACACCAGAATTCACGGACCAGAAATTAAAACAAGAGACACGGACACCATTTTTTCCTCATTCTTTTTCTTCTTCTATAAGAGTTATAAGTAATAAAGCTACTTACGTATTCTCTCTAGTACTCTAGCTGCTGTATTTCAAATGCCGTTGAAGTTTTTATTGACTTTCTGAGTTGTTTATTGACGGCGTTTAATGTTCGGCTACTGATTACTATCAAGTCAAAATTGTACCGGTGACAGTATAGATCAGAGATTTTCATTCAACTCTTTGTTGCACCGCACAATGATTAAGGAAGATATTACTTCGTGCTATTTTTTTGTCTCTAACTGTTTCACGTTTTCTCTAGCAAAATCCATTGATGACCCGTCAATCGTCAAAGTCAAATGATTTGTGTCTGTTTTTTTATTCGTTGTTGTATCGTCAATGATTAAAATAGTCTCGATTGATATTCAATGGATATAAATGAATAGCAACACTCTCACATAACACTTTCTTTCTTAATCGATTGGTTTTTTTTTTCGTGCGTTTCTATATGCATAAAAGTGAGATTTTTCGTATTAGTTTGACAATGTTTCTTTTTTTTTTAATTTAACAAATGACGTCTTTTTTCTATTCAAAACAATTTTTTTTTATTTCACTATCGATTGAATGAGTGAAAAAAAACCCACAGGAAATAAATAACATTCAAATGAAGAATCGGTTTATTTCTAGCGATATTATTCACAAAACAAAAACACGAATTTTGTCGAAGCAAAAACGACGCAAATTTCATTCAAACAATAATCAACAACTAATACCGGTTAAATGACAAAGTGTTTAAACAAAAAAAATTTATTCAACAGAGTGAAAATAAATCCGACAGAAGTTGAAATGAAAAAAACAAATCAGCGCGATAGTGTCGAGCACACGCGCACCATTCACCGAAAAAATAACACGACTTGTTCAATGAACCTCGCGAAACACAATAAAACATATGGCTGGCGAAGAAAAGTGTTGAGCCCATGCGCACTGCAAGACAACCGCTCTCAAGTCTCTCTCACTCTCTGTCTTACTCTGCACTCGAGTGTGTTCCGCGATCGTGCACACATATATTCCCTCGCGTAGTGGAAGCGAGCACACCAAAGACTGAGAGAATGTGCGCAAAGCAAAGCAACGGTCGATCATTCAACGACGGTGTATATGGTCGAATCAATTTTGCTTTGCCATAACCAAGTCTATGGTGCTTAAGCACACACAACAATAAACAAACATACTTTTCGCTCCGCTATTTCGCTTTGGCTCTCCATAACTTTTACCTTCTAATGGACTTGACTTAATTTTTCTTCTCTCTCTCTCTCTCTCTCTCTCTCTCTCTCTCTCTCTCTCTCTCTCTCTCTCTCT